TCAGAACTAGCATCTTATACAAGCAACGGTACTCAGTTGGAAGATGGTAGCGGGGTATAAATAAAGGATGATGATGATGATGATTATTATTATTATTACACTGTATATCCATTGTTTCTCCAGCATAGATGCTGCCTCCTCCTTCTCTTCTTCCACCTCCTTCCCTGACAAGGCCTTGCTCGTCCCATATTTCCCTATGATGCCTCAGAGGAGAGGGGAGGAGTAGGCGGCCTTCCTGTTGGGCTCCCACGTGTCGCCCCAGGCCCACACTTTCCTGCTGATGCTGCCGCTACTGCCGTAGCTGCGCTGAGCCTGAGTGAGGAGCAGGGTGAGCCAGCCATTGTCCTGTCTTGGCGACCCCTCTGCTGCCGTTGCCCTTGCACCCTGTCCCACCTTTGGAGGAGCCTGGCCTGGAAGAGGAAGGCCTTCATGTATTTTCTCTACCTGCAAGTGACTTATGAGGATGTAAACCATAAGTCACTTGCAGGTAGAGAAAATACATGGAGCTCCGCATGAGCCACAGCATAATACAAGAAACACAAGGAAGCCTGGAATTGTATCAGGACTGAACAAGTGCAATTAAAGACACTTAAAGACACAGTATTTGCAAGAAAAAAGAACCAATAGAGCTTGATTTGAGCCACAGGACAATATACACTACAACTTAGAACTTGAGCAGGACTGAGACATTGCGTCCATGCAATTTTTGAAGAAAATTTATGCCAAAAGACTACTAACAACCTGAAGAAGGATTCCCGAAACAAGAATAGTGTACCCAGGATTCTTGTTGTTGTGTTTACTATTAGTGGACTTGTGAACTATTTTCTTTTGAACATTCATGTAGACCTTGATTAGAGTTACAGTATAGTCACAATTAGAACCCAATCCTGATTGTTTTCTGTCTGGAAATCCTTTGTTTTTTAGTGTTGTTATTTATTTACTGTCCTCATTTTAGAGGGTTTTTTTTTTTATACTGGTAGCCAGATTTTGTTCGTTTTCATGGTTTCCTCCTTTCTGTTGAAATTGTCCACATGCTTGTGAATTTCAGTGGCTTCTCTGTGTAGTCCGACATGGTGGTTGTGAGAGTTGTCCAGCATTTCTGTGTTCTCAAATAGTATGTTGTGTCCAGGTTGGTTCATCAACAGAAAGGAGGAAACCATGAAAATGATCAGAATCTAGCTACCAGTATTTTAAAAATCAAGAACTTCAAGTCAAAAATCAAGTCCAATGTGGGC